AGGTGAGAAAAATGTGCAGCCTGACTGGGACTTGAACCCGGGACACTCAGAATACTGTTCCACAGCCCTACCGACTGAGCTATCTGACTGCTTACACATCCATTTCCCTTAATAGTGAACAGTTCTGTACCCTGCTATACTGAAATTCGTCCTCAAATTTCTCAGTTTTACAGAGCACAATGTGAATTAAATTATGACAGTTTATTAAACTGTATGAACAGAAATAAGCAAGTTACCTCCCAAGTCCTTGTCTTATTTTTGCTCTGGACAGTTCCTGAACTTCCCACTACATCAAGGGAAAACTTGTCTGACCAATCACCTTCTCCCATCTTCAAAGAAGCCTGAAATAGAAAACCAATCATATTGTCTCTTACATTATATATTCAACAGCTACAACCAATCATATCGTCTCTCACTTAACTTTCTGAAATATCAACCAATCATGTTGTTTCTTATATGATATACATTGTACTTAAGAAAACAACCTCAGCCAATAATATTGTCTCTCATTAAAACACCTGAAATATCAACAAATCATTTTGCATCTTACATTATAAACTAAACAGCCTGAAATGTTCATGTAAAACAATCTTGAAAATTTGTAACATTTCTAAACATGTAATAACAAACTATGAAAATGAATACTGCTTATTGACCGACACAAATGGGTGAAAAATCAAAAGATAAACATCAAGTTTCAATAAAAAATTGCTTTCATAAGTTGACATTAAATGACAAGAAATTTTCAATCTGCAGACATAGTAATATATCATATGTACTTAAATCTCTTCTGAGTAGTAAAAATCAACTTCCATAGATTAAATGAGAACAGGATTTGTTGAAACAACAAAAAGGCACTCATCCCACATTAGTTAACATTACAACAAACTTATGATGATTTTTTTTCTTAATCTTGAAAATTTGACCTTGGAGGTCAAGGACATGCAGAGGTCAAGGTCAAAATTAAACAACAATACTTTCCAGAGTGTCAATATACCCCAGTACATTGAACGAAGACTCATGAGTTAAAAAATGTTATGTCATTTTAAAAGATGAGAGTTAGTGACAAATAAGGAAAAAACGAAATTAAAAAAAAATCATGAAAAAAAAAATAAATAAAATAAACCATGTAACACTGATGCATGTTAGGTTTAAATTGACAACAATTTACAGATTACATGGGTGCATTTAAGAAAATAAATACAATGAACAAGAAGAAATAAACAACAACAACAACACTTCATGAAATGGAAAACAACCCGGAGTTATAAATGACATGTAAAAAATCCAAAACAATAAAACAAAACAAGGAGGACCATAAAATATCCATTTAATGAAGATATACAGTCCAACCTCAGTTATTCGAATTGCTAGGGACTGAAAATTTACTTCGAATAATCTATGGGTTCGAATAATCGAAATCCGAATATAGTGATAGACGACAACTATTCAACTTTGAACATAAAGTTCTTATCTTTGAAAACATGATAATATAATTCCTTTGTGGTTTGTTGTTATGTCAGATTCTAAATACTTTCAACATAATTATTCATTGTATTACAGACCTTCCATTAATTAGACCAATTCACTTTAATACAATACAGAGGCACCTACACAGATTTAAAATCATCTATTACATGTCGATCATCATCAACATTGCTATGTATACTTTTTCTAGCACACAACAATTTGCCATGACACATACTTCCTATTAAAACCTATGGGTGCTTCATAATAGATCCTTAAAACTATTCATCAAGTTTTATCATATCATACACTCAACATACTATAAGCAACAAGAGCTGTCTGTAAGACAGTGTGCGCTCGACTTTTCTCAGTGCTTGGTAGTAATAAAAGGGACATAACTCTGTAAAAAGATAACTCAGAGTTATGGGACCTGTGTCCATCATATATCATAAATCACAGAGAACAAGTATGTGACGTTTCAACCAATTTCCTTCAGTAGTTATGGAGATACCAACTTGCACGCAAAAACTTAACCAAATTGTGAAGGCGACACCTATGCCAGCGTAAGTACAATAGCTTTCCCTATTCTCTGATTAGTCCATATATAAACAATGACAATTTTGATGCTGATGCATGTAAAAAAAATGGGTCAAAGACAGAAAAGGCCGGGTTGCATTTGTACACCAAATATCATGAGGCTGTGATGTTACGAAAAAAAATTTCCATTGACCCATTAATGTCGAAAATTTAATTCAGTAGGGTATACAGGAAGTGGATGAGCTACACACCTAAAATCGAATCCCACAGTATGGGACCATGTGTTAATGCTGTATGCCAAATATCAAGAGGCTGTTATTAGTAGTTTCTGAGAAAAATGTTACGAAAATTTCCTACCAGTGACCATAAATGTGAACAGGAAGTGGATGAGCTGCAGACTTGAAATCGAATCCCACAGTATGGGACCATGTGTCAATGCTGTATGCCAAATATCAAGAGGCTGTGATAAGTAGTTGCTGAGAAAACTGTTACGAAAATTTCCTACCATTGACCATTAATGTCGAAAAATCTAACTAATTTAACTAAGTGGATAAACAGGAAGTGGATGAGCGACAGACCTGAAATCAAATCCCACAGTATGGGACCATGTGTCAATGCTGTATGCCAAATATCAAGAGGCTGTGATAAGTAGTTGCTGAGAAAACTGTTACGAAAATTTCCTACCATTGACCATTAATGTCGAAAAATCTAACTAATTTAACTAAGTGGATAAACAGGAAGTGGATGAGCGACAGACCTGAAATCAAATCCCACGGTATGGGACCATGTGTCAATGCTGTATGCCAAATATCAAGAGGCTGTGATAAGTAGTTGCTGAGAAAACTGTTACGAAAATTTCCTACCATTGACCATTAATGTCGAAAAATCTAACTAATTTAACTAAGTGGATAAACAGGAAGTGGATGAGCGACAGACCTGAAATCAAATCCCACGGTATGGGACCATGTGTCAATGCTGTATGCCAAATATCAAGAGGCTGTGATAAGTAGTTGCTGAGAAAACTGTTACGAAAATTTCCTGCTATTTACCATTAATGTTGAAAATTTAACTAGGTCAGCAAACAGGAAGTGGATGAGCGACAGACCTGAAATCGAATCCCACAGTATGGGACCATGTGTTGATGCTGTATACCAAATATCAAAAGGCTGTGATACGTAGTTGCTGAGAAAACTGTTACGAAAATTTCCTACTATTGACCATTAATGCTGAAAATTTAAGTAGGTCAGCAAACAGGAAGTAGATGAGCGACAGACCTGAAATCGAATCCCACAGTATGGGACCATGAATTGATGCTGTATACCAAATATCAAAAGGCTGTGATACGTAGTTGCTGAGAAAACTGTTACGAAAATTTCCTACTATTGACCATTAATGCTGAAAATTTAAGTAGGTCAGCAAACAGGAAGTAGATGAGCGACAGACCTGAAATCGAATCCCACAGTATGGGACCATGAATTGATGCTGTATACCAAATATCAAAAGGCTGTGATAAGTAGATGCTGAGAAAACTGTTACGAAAGTTTTTTCCCCGCCCGCCCGCCGCCCGCCCGCCCGGACGCCCGCCCGCCGCCCAACATTCACCATACTATAACCCGGGTTTGCACCAGTGCAACCCGGCCAAAAATGATCAAATTCATGTGCACTTTTTCTATACAAGGTGTTGCAATGTTAGTAATATAGTATTAGATTTACAATATACAGAGGATATTGAATCACTGAAGGTTCAATACTAAATTTATTGAACAGGTTGAATAAAATCATAGTATGTAAAGCCTCTAGTGAGAATATTATTGATTTATTCAAAGAGTTCAATAACTTGATTATAGAATCTACACAAAAATAATATTCTATTTATCACATATTCGAAATCAGAACGGTTTACAGTTAAAATGAGCAATTTTTCACTGATGCCCCAATTATGCGTAACGCTTACATTAGTGCCCAAACAATCTGTCGTCAAAGTGTTATTACACTTCTGTGTAATATCATTTTTAATGTCGTAGTGTAAGTGATAAATATAAATATAAACTAAACATAATGCTTAATAACAAGCCATGCAATAACGAAAGTCTAAAATCACTAAATAACATTAATAACAGCAACCCTCAAGAGACAGGTCAAGGTTTTTATACCACTATCAAGTTTTCCTGCATTCTGTAGCGACATTAACTTATTTTCCTACAGATGCTTTTCAAATAGCAATAATTACCTCCCCTGGCCACTATTTTGAGGGTCATTTCCAAGAGGTAAAGATCTCTCATAATTCTCATCATTTTCATGAAAACTGATAAAAATCTGTTACATATTGGTGCTATTATAATATTCTGCTGTATATGTATAAAGGAATTTGACAATTCACCTAAATGAACTATTTCTATTGATTTTCGTTAACTCTTTCAATTGTATTAATATATATCAATATAGATGTATTATAATATTGACCCCCAAAATGGCTGCAACATTAGGCAAGGGAGGTAAGTATTGCAAAACTATGGAACTATATGTTATTATCAGTTTTTCAACAACATGAGCTCCGCATGCGGTGTTAACACTCGTCTGTTAAAATAACCACTTTACACCAAAATTAATAAGGGGCATATCTCTAAAAATATAGCTTTCATAGTTATGCCCCTTGTCTTACAACTGCTTCTTGTCATGATAAGCAAGAATTCTAAGTTTCATATTGATACCTTTAAAATTTGAGTAATGGCCAACATTTTTTGCATGGAGGACTAAGAAGACAACGACGACACACAGCAATCGACATTTTCTTGGAAACAGAACAAGCTAAAAATCAGCAGCAGTCTATTAGTATAAGTAACATCAAAGAAATTGTCTAATAAAATATATGACCACACCCACGGACTTTAATTCACAAAATCCACAGTCTGTAGCCCTTACTTCTCTTCATAGCAACCAAAGCAGGTGAACTGATAAATAATAAGTAGGTGACAAGCAAAATTTATAACCACTGCATCATATAGGGGGCAATAATCGCAAAAAAACACACCAAAAACATCCAAAGAACTGTTTTGAACAATAAACAAAAATCTGAAAAAGCATACAAAATTTTTGCAAAAGCAAAGTATAAGAGAAAAATTAAAATATAAATGATGCGGTGCCATTCTTAACATACTTTTCCACTTTGTTTCATTTCCTTCACTTTTTGTTTCTTTGCATCTTTCTTTCTCTCTAGTGTGTCTTTCTTTCTATCCAATGTGTCCTTCTTTCTATCCAAGGTGTCCTCCTTAAAGTTGTGTGTGAATAATAATTATACCACTGTGCTATACAATGATTATACCATTGTGCTATACAATGATGTTATACCATTGTGCTTTTAACTGTGTTTACCACAAAGATTTTATACGATTGAGTTATATAAGTGTTTACCACAATGATGTTATACCATTGTGTTTAAACATTGTGTTTATGTTATACCATTGTGTTATATTAATGTTTACCACAATGATAGTCATATCAAAGTGTTCAAGCAGTGTTTACCACATGCTGTTACATCACTGTGTTTAAAAAATGTTTGCCGCAATTTTGTTACACCATTGTGTTTAAACCATATTCACCACAATGATGTTATACCATCGTGTTTAAACATTGTGTTTACCACAATGTTGTTACTTCATTGTGTTTAAACATTGTGTTTACCACAATGATGTTATACCATTGTGTTATATTAATGTTTACCACAATGATAGTCATATCAAAGTGTTAAAGCAGTGTTTACCACATGCTGTTACATCACTGTGTTTAAAAAATGTTTGCCGCAATTTTGTTACACCATTGTGTTTAAACCATATTCACCACAATGATGATATACCATTGTGTTTAAACATTGTGTTTACCACAATGATTTTATACCATTGTGTTTAAACATTGTGTTTATGTTATACCATTGTGTTATATTAATGTTTACCACAATGATAGTCATATCCAAGTATTAAAGCAGTGTTTACCACATGCTGTTACATCACTGTGTTTAAAAAATGTTTGCCGCAATTTTGTTACACTATTGTGTTTAAACAGTGTTTACCACAATGATGTTATACCATTGTATTGTAATAAGTGTTTACCCCAATGATTGTAATGCCATTGTGTCTAAACAGATTTAACCACACTGCTGTTATACCAATGTTTACCACCATAATGTAATACCATTGTGTTTTAAATAATGTTTACCACAATGATGTAAAATTATTGTGTACTATACAAGTATACCACAATGATATACCACTGTGCATCATCAGTGCTTACCACAATGTGCTTTAGTGGTGCCTTGTTTATTTCATCTATTAGCAAGGTATTATTGCATGTAAATAAATAATCTGTGATTCAAATGGGGAAATAAATATTGGTGCGAGAATGTTATAGCACTGAAATTCCTCATATAATATAAAATTTCTGTATCAGATAAAGCAAATAAAAATGTTTTGTTATTTGAAACATTGTCAGCCTCTTTAATATTAAATGTACATTGTACATAAATGAAAAACAATTCTTATAGTTCTTAAATCCATAACAGTTATAGGACATTGGTGTTACTGCTTTTGTACAGTCATTTTTGAATATGATCTAACTGCAAATTTAGGCATTAAAAGTACTGACCCCTTACCACTAATTCCACTCAATAACTTAGTCTAAATCCATCTGTAATCCTGCCAAATTTACTCAGGATAGAGAGTGGCAGATTTAAACTTCTGGCCTTCTCACCCATAAAATGGTCATAAAAGTCAGGCCACCAATCAGATTTAACAAATATTCATAAATTAAGTGATCTTGAGATATTTGTAATGAAGAAATATGCTGATAATAAAAGGCTTGGACAAAGAAAACGATGTTGCCAGCATTCTAAATAAAGGCGATCAGCACAAAAAAGGGAAATAAAAATGATGTACCCCTATCCAATAAAAAGTGATTAGCAAAAAAGGGGCTTTAAGTCTTAGACACCATTGTTTGAAGCTAATGCATGCAAAGATCCCATGTAGTCACAATACATTTATGTGCCAAAGCTAGATTCTGAGATATTTTTGTTGTGGGTCAGAATCTTGCTTCTAGAGGGGAGACATTGCCCATCCACAAAATAGCACAATATCTCAACTTACAGTCTAAAATCTCTTATGCAAAGTTCATGACAAGAAGTATTAATTTCTTAAATCCATATGGACAATTATGGACTTTGTTTTGATGGTTATAATACTGCACCAAGTGTATATAAACAATTGTGTATTTTAATATAGGTGTGCTTTTTGAATATGCTTATACTTCTTTTAATTTTTTTTTTAACCAATAAATATATAAATATAGCATTGAAAACTAGCAAATCACAAATATACAAACAGTCAATTAATTATTACACAAACTGCTATATGAATAAGTATTACTAAACTCTTTTATATGAAAAATATTAACACCACGTCTTATGTGTAAATTAACAGTAAAAGTTCCATTAGTTTTCAGAAACCATTATACCAACATGTTTTTTTATAACAAGTTATCAACAGCATGTTATGGCAAAATCACACATTTATAAAAACATAACACTTGTTTTGAAGGAAACCTATGAACTGGCCTCTTTAATTACAATGTTAACTTCTTGTGTTGTATTTACTCACATACATGTCGGATTGATCATAAGACGCGGTCTGCATTTTTATCATTAAAATTTGCAGTATGGCTTTGACTTTTCTATTAGACAGGTTAGTTTGTTTAACAATTGCCAAAGTGGTGAGAATGTTCATATGAAATTACTTACGGCTGATATCTTGTTTACATTTAGATACAAATTTAAGGTGGTGCTGTTGTGTTTTTGCTTTGTTTCTAAATTCGAAACATTTACTGCTAGAAAATACCTCACAAATATACAAAGTTTACATAATTATTCATTTATGTAGAGAGATTGAGAAACTAGATGTGAATGTTATTAAAAAAAGAGTGAAAAGGTTAGCACTAAAATAGAATCACAGCAGTCAAATCTCTCAACAATACCAATGTTGTTTCTGCACAAAAACAGGCATACATCTGTCAGAAGGTAATACACAATTCATTATTCAACAAAAATATGTAATGGTCATGGAACCATGGTTTATTGTCCAACAAATCATTATTTAGATACATTAAAAAGGTAAAAAAAATTGTTTTAAAAATGTCCTCGTCCAGAACAAATGACAACTTCTTTTGAGTAAAATGTCTGTACATTTTTTTCTCCTAGGCGATGCAAGATAAATTAATATTTAGCTATCATCAATTTTTATTCTTTTTTTTTTATTCACCAAGAACCACAAATTAAAGTAAGCATTTGTTTAAACAGATGCACAAATAGCAGAATGTTTAGAGGTAAAAAAGCCCCTTTTCCAGCATTTTAACAAGCCAACCTTAAATTATGCTGCTGCTCAAATACCAAAAGTTAACATAATAGATTCCCAATAAAATGCAACACCTTGCCAAGGATGCCACTTTAGAAGTTCAAAGTGTGATCTATAGAGTAGTCCAGAAAAACCCAATGTTCTCTTACTGTAACCTTCTTATTTGATACATACTATGAATTTGACCATACTATAATGCCATTATGTAAATTACTGCATTCCCGATCACAAATTGTAAATTATGCATATTTTCTTTTGTCTTAATGAATTTGTGCATGAAATACAAATATTACAACATAATTATGTACATTTTATATAATAATTGTACCACCAAATCATTGATGTATCTCTCTTTCATCATGCTATATTATATTACTCAAATGAATTTAGCTAGGCCAGGATCGCACCAGGTTTTAGTACAATCCATTAGTCTCAGAGCAACATACAAGTAATAGGCTAATATACACCTACGAACGACCCTTTTTTATTACAACTACTGTCATTAATCAATCAGATATGCAATAATATTCTCATATATATCATTTTTATCTATAAATAAACTATTCATGCTCTATAATGAAATTGGTGTAAACTTATGTTACCTTTTTCTTAGAGAACAAAGAATTCTTCTTGAATGAAAACATGACAATATCCTTGAGGTCTGACGGATGATCTACGGGCTCATCCTCACCGGCCTAAAATAGATAATGAAAAAACCTAAAATAGTCCCTCAGTCTGAAAAAGAATAACCTGAAATAAAGTAATCACAGTCTGAAATAGAAAATAAAATAACCTGATAAAAGCATAAAATAATTCTTACAATATCCTTGAGGAACTGAGTAGCACAAATTTAGTTTAAGTGATGCCCGGAGGCAAAGATTTAAAGTTCTTGACAAGAGCTGTGTGATACGTTAAGATCTGTACATGTGGTAGGTAAAAAAGCGCTGTGAAGTCGATTTTACTTTGATGTTTAAATTCGGCAAAGTTCAGAAAATTTAGGCGATGAAGGATTTCTCAGTTATCTCAGAACCCTGTTCAATTATTGGAATGAGGTGGATGGAAAGGTGACCTAGATGATTAATTCCTTATCCACTTTACCAATATTATGTACCTGGAACAGATTTAATGATTCAAAATGATTGTATAATTTGTCACCTTAATGCAGAAATTGACTTATATAATTCAATAGGAGATTACTGCACTCAGGTGAAATTTACTTACCTTGTATTGAAGTAATTTTTCAGTTTTATTGATCATCCAGTAGGGACTGTAGACCGACACATCTAGAACACCAGGTCCCTGTTTATAATGTAGACCTAAATCCTGCAACATTTACAGAAAAACATTTGTACAAAACATTTCTAAAAATCTCCTCATAATATTTAATGTATTTTGTTTGTTTTTCTGATTTTTACACCAATTTTAACGTATTTTTAGTCTTATCTTGGAAGTCAATATTTTTGGTCATATCTCGGAGGTCAATATTTTTGGTCCTATCTCGGAGTTCAATGCACTAAACCGTCTTTCTTTGATAAATAACCAGTAATTACTAATTTCTCAACACGTGACCGACCACAAATCCTACATAATTTCTGAATAAGCAGTGAGAGACAAATGACTATTAGACTCAATGTCTGAGATCAACTGTCACAGAGAAAATTATGTTTAAGGATCGAACAAGTGACCCCTTGATTACAAATCATATGTTCCCCATACTGAGCTAGACAGACCCACAGATTCAATGTGGTGAATGTAAAGTAAAAACATTTGACAGTCAATAGACTGTTTCATTAGCGTGATACACTCACAGCCTAAACAGACTCTACTCAACTCTCATCAATGAGCAACTAGAATCAAATACTTGCTCTCTTTGGGAAGATTTTCTCATTCCCATTACGACAGCCCATATTATGCTTACAGCCTCCACAGACTCTACTCTCACCAATAATTTACTACAATAAAATAATTGCTCTCTTTGTTAAGTCTTTCACTCCCCTTTTGATGGGAAGTCTTTCACTCCCTTAATGGTAGCTTATATTATGGAGCTACAGATTTAAACTGCTGTCTCAGGTACACAATTACACCTGAATAAAATGATGCAATAAAGAAATTAAATTTTTTACTCAAAGAAAACAGTAATGTGGCTTCTTGCCATTAGTACCTTTGATTTTTCAGGGAAAGAAAATTGTTTTACGCTATGAAATCAGAAATAAAAGCTGCGTTCATAAACTTTACCATTGTTAATTTCTTGTTGCTTTTGTCATAAGCTTCAAACGTCCACACTGATAATTCCGGTATATCCACTTCCAGTAAACGTCTTCCAATCCATTCCATGCCCTGGTAATCTGGTATCTGTAAAATGACATGCAATTATAGTGGTCTGTTTCAAGGATTGAACACCAGACAAAACATTTTGAGCACCGGACATAACATTCTTATGAAAGATGCAATTACAAATGGAAATATTCTAAATAACAAATCCAGGGCTTTTTTTCTATAGCAGTGGCTGTCTATAGGTCAATAGCTTCGCTAAAAGTCTTTAAAATCATGTGCTTTTCCTCAAAAATTCAATTTTCATCTAAAAATAACAATGGACTAGTCTAAATTCAAACAAGAAAAGTCCATTATTAATATACAAATTCAGGATATGTGTATACTTACTGTAATTTCAAATAGGTATGATGACATGGTTCTATACTACTGGCTGGTCAATTATAAGTATTTTATATTCTAACCTCCCTAAAAATGACAATGGACTTTTCTAAATTCAAAACAGGACAAGTCCATTATTAATATACAAATTCAGGATATGTATTTACTTACTGTAATTTCAAATAGGTATGATGACATGGTTCTATACTACTGGCTGGTCAATTTATAAGTATTCTATATTCTAACCTCCCTAAAAATGACAATGGACTTTTCTAAATTCAAAACAGGACAAGTCCATTTTTAATATACAAATTCAGGATATGTATATACTTACTGTAATTTCAAATAGGTATGATGACATGGTTCTATACTACTGGCTGGTCAATTTATAAGTATTCTATATTCTAACCTCCCTAAAAATGACAATGGACTTTTCTAAATTCAAAACAGGACAAGTCCATTTTTAATATACAAATTCAGGATATGTATATACTTACCGTAATTTCAATGTTTGTTTTCCCAACACAGGCATGATCTAGTGGTATATTACTGCCTCTGTCTAACTCAAAGTTATCCTCTGTACCCTAAAAAACATTAAAAGGTTACCTAAACATCTTATTCTCTACAGAATATATAAAGATATGAAGAAATTTTTTTATTTAAAGTTGAAGGTTTTACGTAAAGAATGACCTGTTAGGGAAAAACTTGCAAGATTTTAACAGAGTAAGAGAAAAAAGTTCTTTGACCTCTGACCCCATTCAAAAGAGAGAAAGGTGAAGGTCATTTAAGTTTATCTGTACCATGAATCAAACAAGAAGCGCCGCAATGCGACGAAAACCAGGTTTTCAACGACCAAATTTTGATGTGACAGCAATCAATAGGTCAAAGTACACTGAAGTTAATGAGTAGAAGCTGAAAATTCTATTGTAAGCAAATGACCTTGAACTTGCTCCCAGATATCTAAGTAGCAATCCAAAGCTGCCACTCAGCAAGTTTATTGTCAAAAGGTCAAAGCAAACTCAAGTTATAACATGAAAACTAAATACATTAACCTTGATCACAGACACCTGGGTAGCAATCCCAAGCTGCCTCTTTATATAAGCTACCCATTCATCAAGTTTGATGTCAAAAGGCCAAAGCAACTCAAGTTATTTAGCGGAAACTGAATTTCTATTTTTAATAACAGTGACCTTGACCTTAATCACAGACACCTGGATAGCAATCCCAAGCTGCCTCTTGATATAAGCTATCCATACACCAAGTTTGGTGTCAATAGGCCAAAGCAAACTCGAGTTATTGAGCAGAAACTGAATTTCTATTTTTAGTAACAGTGACCTTGACCTTGAGAACAGACACCTGGGTAGCAATCCCAAGCTGCCTCTTGATATAAGCTATCCATACACCAAGTTAGGTGTCAATAGGCCAAAGCAAACTCAAGTTATAGAGCGGAAACTGAATTTCTATTTTTAGTAACAGTGACCTTGACCTTGATCACAGACACCTGGGTAGCAATCCCAAGCTGCCTCTTGATACAAGCTATCCATACACCAAGTTTGGTGTCCATAGGCCAAAGCAAACTCAAGTTATTGAGCGGAAACTGAATTTCTATTTTTAGTAACAGTGACCTTGACCTCAATCACAGACACCTGGGTAGCAATCCCAAGCTGCCTCTTGATATAAGCTATCCATACACCAAGTTTGGTGTCAATAGGCCAAAGCAAACTTAAGTTATTGAGCGGAAACTTGAATTTCTATTTTTAGTAACAGTGACCTTGACCTTGATCACAGACACCTGGGTAGCAATCCCAAGCTGCCTCTTGATATAAGCTATCCATACACCAAGTTTGGTGTCAATAGGTCAAAGCAAACTCAAGTTATTGAGCAGAAACTGAATTTCTATTTTTAGTAACAGTGACCTTGACCTTGATCACAGACACCTGGGTAGCAATCCCAAGCTGCCTCTTGATATAAGCTATCCATACACCAAGTTTGGTGTCAATAGGCCAAAGCAAACTAAAGTTATTGAGCGGAAACCAAAAGTTGACGCCCGCCCGCCCGCCTGCCGACTTCGGCATTACAATAACCCGGTTTTCGTTACATAAAAGTATAGGTCAACATGAAGCTTACCTGGAGCAAGACCTTGACCTTGTATGGTAAAAGATTATGCAATATCACAGTGGGGTAAAGGTGAAAGGTCGTTGACTTGGCAGAGGGAGTATCACCAGTCTCATAATATACTGTCTCAATATCAGCCCTGACCTACAAAAACAAATAATACATTTATAATTACTGTCTCAATATCGGCCCTGACCTACAAAAACAAATAATACATTTATAATTACTGTCTCAATATCGGCCCTGACCTACAAAAACAAATAATACATTTATAATTACTGTCTCAATATCGGCCCTGACCTACAAAAACAAATAACACATTTATAATTACTGTTCAATATCGGCCCTGACCTACAAAAACAAATAATACATATTTACAATTACAGTCTCAATATCGGCCCTGACCTACAAAAACAAATAATACATTTATAATTACTGTCTCAATATCTGCCCTGACCTACAAAAACAAATAATACATTATAATTACTGTCTCAATATCGGCCCTGACCTACAAAAACAAATAATACATTTATAATTACTGTCTCAATATCGGCCTGACCTACAAAAACAAATAATACATTTATAATTACTGTCTCAATATCGACCCTGACCTACAAAAACAAATAATACATTTATAATTACTGTCTCAATATCGGCCCTGACCTACAAAAACAAATAATACATTTATAATTACTGTCTCAATATCGACCCTGACCTACAAAAACAAATAATACATTTATAATTACTGTCTCAATATCGGACCCTGACCTACAAAAACAATAATTCATTTATAATTACTGTCTCAATATCAGCCTGACCTACAAAAACAATAATACATTTATAATTACTGTCTCAATATCTGCCTGACCTACAATAACAAATAATACATTTATAATTACGTCTCAATATCTGCCTTTGACCTACAATAACATATAATACATTTATAATAACTGTCTCAATATCAGCCCTGACCTACAAAAACAAATAATACATTTATAATTACTGTCTCAATATCGGCCTGACCTACAAAAACAAATAATACATTTTATAATATACTGTCCTCAATATCGGCCCTGACCTACAAAAACAAATATACATTTATAATTACAGTCTCAATTTAGATAGTGAATAAAAAATTTAATAATTTTCCAAAACTTTTAGTACTAATAAACAAAGCAATAACTTTTGGTTGTTGTTTTTATGGGCATACAGTCACAAGTGTTTATATTGTTGCAAATATGACAAGCCTACTGTATAACTATTACATCCCAGTGAAGGCAAAAGAGCGATATGCAATAGCCAAGGTTGACATAATCTTGTCAATGGTAAAGATTTTGCTATATTGCAAAAGTGGGATGTGATACTTAATTCTATTATACAAAAACAAATCAGTTTTCGAGTTAGACAATTCTCCTACATAGTAACTTTAAAACTAAGACTTGGAGCCCAGTATGTGCATGTAAAATTGTCAGCAGGCAGAAAAGTGATGTTGCCATGTGACATTACAGATTATTCCCCTATAACATCATGTAAGGCTATATATTATAATAAGGTTATGTAATAAAATGAATCACATGAGGTTTTACAAAAATGCATGAATATAAGTTAAGCAGTGGGCTTACATAAGACAAATTCCTCAGAAATTAAACATTTACATATCAAGACGAACATGTATTTGCACATTACACACAAAACTGAAGTAATACTACACACTACCTTGAAATAGAACGGCTCATGTCCCGGGCCGGCTTTACACATCAACTGTTTCAGTCCCATATTTTCGGCACCCTTCCAACTTATTGGATCACTTAACTCATCACATCTACGTAGAAGAGAAAGAATTAACAACAATTAACAACTAGCTGGCATTAAAATTAAAAAATTTTGTCTCATAAACCAATATTCTGTTGAACAACTTATTCTATATATTCATTGCAATATCTTTTATATTCGATTCGCAATAAAGGACTTTTTTCATATTCTCTACTGAGTGGCTATAAATAGATTCATTTCAAAGAGAGGCTTTACATGTATAAATAGCTATACATGTATATATTCACTTAAATGATGTAAATACACGCTATATGCACATAAATTGAGTAGCTATAACCATAGTGCTCCATCGTAGATTGTACAAAGAGGAAACTGTGACATCACAGTTGAAATTTATCGCCACAAAAAGCATTTCTCAACATGTTAACATTCTGCATGAGTGTTCCCTTTTTCTAAAATTGTTCCCTACCATGTCCTACCATATTGAATTTGTATTGAAAATTGTAAATAATAACTATCAAGTAGCTAATATGCAAAAGAGAAACTAAAAATAAGGTTCACTTAAAATTCGGTTACAAATATAGATTCCTACCCATCTTTGATAGGTTTAAACATGAACTGGGCAGATTGGGTGTATATTGTGTGTAACGGTAGACTGAAAAGTTCTTCTGGACTGACTGAAGATATCGGTAAGTTTCCCGACGCATCCTTGAAGAAAACATCAACTGGAACTGTCAGATGGTTCATCACCTAATAGAGAATAAAATAATTATACAATTATATTAAAGAACAAAACAAATTTTCCTAAAAAAGAATAGCGCACAAAGTATGTACATATTTGTGTGAAGTTGATAATATAATTGAAATCAAATTATGACAAAATGTACAGGTCTTTAGTTTTTGACCTGTACGCTCACATTTACACTTGAATGGGCATAATGTTACTTTAATAATGACTAAGCCACAAGAACAAAGCTAACCTGATTAATTTCAACATTTTGATACATCAAGATCATTCATAAAAGCATGTGACAGTTTATAGCAATATGAAAGCCTGTTCAACAAATTTGTTTGTTTGTTTTTTCTGCAAACCAACACAATTCAATGAATTTTGCATGGGAGGTTGGTGATTCTACTCGGGTGTCTGCCTGTGTTTGAAAATAATGAACAGAGGGGCAGGGTATGTGGTTTAACTCATATGCCTTTTATGTGAGGAAGCTATCTAGCTAGCTTACAGGTGGTGCTTGTTTGTGCCTGAAATAATGCATGGAGGGGCAACTGAGGTGTTCTTCCACTATCTTAAAAGTGTTGGTGTGACATTTAACTAGACCAAAGGTTTGAGCAAGTACCAGCAACAGAAAGTGTTTCAACAGTTTAAACATCAGCTCACCTGTACAGAAGATCTAAATGTGACAGTTCTCTGTCCCAGGGACGTCTGTGTATCACAAACTATAGCCCATTGATCATTTGTCTTAGTTTCAACATGAAAAAGACGTTTTTCTGCACGCTTGATAGTTACCTCCCTTGTTGCATTAAAAACCTGTAAACAACATAACAGTTGGTGTATAAAGTTATTTTAGTTTTGATTGTGTAGAAAGCTATAAGTTTATAACTATTATGATCCATATTTTTACATTATAATTGTTTGTGATAGTTTACATCACAATCATTATTTTAAGAAATAGATATTTCATATTTTATAACTCTTGATTGTGTAGAAAGCTATATGCTTATAGATACACTTTCAAATCCGTTCCTGGAACCAACCATTACTGAGCAAGTTTCTTGCTCAAGGAAACAACTTGCCCCTGGGCATGGTTTTATGATTAGATAACTATTCCGACATGTTGACCATAAGGCCATGCCGCCACTTAACATACCAGTTATTTATGTTTACAATCTATTTATTTGTATTTTTCTTGTAAACAAAACATAACTTCTTGTCATTCATTGTAATCAAAACTCATTAATTTTTAATCTATAATATCATAATTTTATGTAATCTTTTATGAAAAAAATCAGAATTGTAACACGACACACATTTTTCCCTATTGAATGAACATAGAAGGAACAAAAGTATGTGTTATCATGCAATAAAATCACTGTTGACATTCTGACACCAGATCTGGTTGGTACTTGAAAGTGATTAATATAAGCTGCAAGAACTTGTTTCGCAAAAGAGCTTAAATAAATATGTTTAAACCAAGTTGATAATCAAGAAAAAGCAGCGGTATACCTGAAAGATCATTTTCTTTTCATCAGAAGCAGTGGACGCCTTGATAACTGAAGCTTGTCTACGTAATTTCGGACCTTCTTTGTTCTTCAGAGGTAAAGTATCGCCAACTGACAGCTTTATTTTACCGTTTGCTGCATTTGGAGGGCTCTGTATAAAACAATATAAAACAATGTGAAGTAAACATTTTTTAAACCTATGTAGAAAACAGTTTGACAAAAACTTAAGAAAGCATTGTTTTGAATGAAGAAAACTGGAAATAAAATGTGTGAAAGCTTTTGCTACAAGTATAGAACTTGGGGAATAAATATAATGGGACAAGCAAATACTGAATTGATAAATTTCCAGCTTTACCTCGAAGGCATTGTCAAGCTTGAGCATCAAATCCTCTCCAGTGACGTTCTTTATAACGTATGGTGTCATAACTTCTCCGGCTTTTAATGTAGGCTCTACCAGAGCATACGCATCCCCAAATGCCTGTAAAAACAATATATTGACCATTATATTTTACAGTGCCTTCGCATTTGTGTAAACACTAAGAGCATTAATATTCATGATCAGTTTCTGGAGGTAAAATAAACTCAGTACCATTTTATTCAATTATTTAAACTGATTCCTCTTGATCAATTTGTTAAATTTAGGTAAGGCCCAGGTGCCGTAAAACTGTAAACAAGAAATGATTTCATTTTTGTTAAACAAAATAAGGAATTATGACCCTTTTTGTACAATAAAAGAAATGGCACCCCGAGTCCATTTTGATAGAATGTCCAAAATTTTGTGAAAAATTTTCTCAAACATCTTTGACCAATTCATTTTAAAGATATAATTATAGTTAGTACCCCCAAAACTATTTTAATTCATAATTATCCGAAGGTTATATTCTAGGCGATTTATCAAATATATTTAATGTTACTTTTGTATCTTTGTATTCAGAGTTTCTATAGACTCTCTCAACATATTACTTACCTTCCCTAGATTAGTAAGGCTTTCTAGACAGGCTTTTGTCATAGTGAGTTGTAGTGCATCTGTAGATTTCACGTTTATCGTCATCCTAGGTGGCGGCATTTTCACCGTCTCCGTTTCTTCGTCATCCTCGATACCAGCCTCGATATCATCATTCTTCATCACCTATACGTTTAGATGATACAAATTATTTGAGCCGAGTCACAACAAAACCAAAAATAATGGGTTTGCGACCAGCATGGATCCAGACCGACCTGCGCATCTGCGCAGTCTGATCAGGATCCATGCTGTTCGCTTACCGACTTTATTACAAGTAGAGAAACTGATAGCAAACAGCATGGATCCTGATCAGACTGCTCGGATGCGCAGGCTGGTCTGGATCCATGCCGGTCGCAGACACACTATGTTGGTTTTGTCGTGACGCGGCTCATTTCAGTTTGATTGTGTTGTTGGAAACACTTTATGTAAAATTTCTTGCTAGCAGAAACAACAACTTATCCCTGACGGGGTTTGAACCCTCACGGCCAGCATTCCTATGAGAAAACCTATGACATACAATATAACACATAATAAACTCTCCTCCCTTGCAGAAATATATACCGGTATTTAAAAAGTCCCAGTATTTCCCAGTTATGATCCTAGAAAATTCCAGAATGTTAAAACCAGTCTTGGCTATTCTAGTGTGGCCTAGGAAATACCAGTTACTGAGAACTAGGCATTTCTGATAATTTTTAAACAACTCATCAATTTCTAAGTTATACTAGGAATTGTAATTTATTTTCTGAGATTTCTAAGACTTAAGATTTTGCAAAATTCCTAGTCTTTAGGAATTACTTAGAATTTTCTTGTAGAACAAAATCCTTAACATCTGTGCTAAATTCCTTGAATCTTACATAAATTCCTAAAGACTAGGAATTCTCTTTGTTGAAAGTAAACAAGTAGATAAAGAAGGAAGACAAATAAAATTGAAAATAAAAATGTTTTTTTTTAAATAAAACAACATAGGGCCTACTGATCTAGATCTATTTAATAATATTTTTCTAGGATTACTATTATTATTTAGATTCTAATTGAAATTTAATAATCAATTGACCTTAATGGTCAACCTGCATTTCTGACAATTTTATCATTGGCCATTTAATTAATAGATAATAGGAGTATATAATCCAAAAAGAAATAACAAATGTACAGGCACTCCAAGTAAATCAAAGACGTATTAGGCCTATTATAAAACCTTAAAAAAAATCAATAATTGACATCTGAAGTATGTAATTTTTATCAGTTGTGTAGAGCTATTTTTAGCGCTGTCAAATTGCATCCACTGATGTCATGCTTCAGTGCACAGGCTGTGTGTATAAACCACTTTATACATTATACTGCCTGTTGACATTTTTATGGAGTGTGATTTGAACATATGTAGATCTAATTAGGGGTGGATTTAAGGTGATAATTATTGCATAGTTGAAAATCCAAAGTGGCAAATTGACTCTTGTGCAGATTTTTTCACGTGTCATATTTGTGCATTTCCAAATTTTCACGAGTCAAAACCCGAATCCCCGCGTCAATCGAGAGTCCTGAATTAAAGTAGGCTGACGGATATTAACGATGATAACTTAGTCTTTACTTAACCAGCGAACCTTTACGATTATACTCGAGCAATATCCGTATATTTACGCTAACCAAGACGAGCATAATTTCATGACGTATTGGATACGTATACTGATGAACGTAGCAACACAATTGTTTTGGAAACTACTGTAGAATTGTATGAAATTCAAGCGCTTGTTGGGCTTAAAATAATAGATTTTTGAAATAAAATTCAACGATATAATTGAAATTATTCAGTCATTGTATTGACAGCAAAAACAACAGAAGTACACGAAATTTTGCGAATCAAGCACATGTTACTGACGTAGTACACATGTTTATTACGTAGAACACAGGTTTATTGTGCGCGCAATATTCAAAGACGGCAGACACTTCGTCTCTTATCAACAGTGAACTGATATCGTCTCCCCAATAAAGACATACAACGAGGAAGGTGAAATAGCTCAAGCAAATTATCAGAAGAAGACCTTCAAAGCTGCAATCGGTGAAATTCACTGTGAGTATTATCATAAATGCACTGATTTTTTCCCAAACAGAGCCGGCGTGTTTATGAACCCCTAGAAAAATGAAGAGTCTAGAGATTATTTTAATGACCTTTCTTCACTTCTAAAAGCATTATTTTGTAACAATTTGCCGACTGTAACAATAGAAATAATAATTGTATTTCCAGCTTATTCCTAGTTACAGTTAAGATACTTATTTAAACCTTACTGGAAAAAATGCGTAAACGGACATTTGTCACATATTTTCGCGACCTGTTTTTATTTATTTCTTTGTTGAACAGGAAAGATATAATAATAATGAATAAAAAAACAAAGCATGCGTTGAAGATGGTTGTGCTTCCCTGCAGGAAATTGTTTGCTTATGCCCTCTAAAAGTTTAAAATATTGTTTTGAAAAATGCATGTTAGCAAGTTTTTTTACTTCCAGACAGTTTAATACCCTAGTATGCAGATAGTTCACTACCTTAGCAATTTTGCACTTGTATTAGAAAAAAAAAGTTTTTCATAAAGAAACAATATTTTTATATCACCATTAATTTATGTAGATCTAGTTATATATTAGAATATGATAAACAAGATCAACAAGAAAAGATAATGTTCAATAAGCCTACATCATGTCTGTATTTTAAAATAACACATTACTGACTGTATTTTTAAATCACAATAAGATACCTCCAAAAATTTATTTGAAACAGAAATCATGTTTTCTGTTTGTTTTTGATTTGTATGTGTGTGTTTTGAGTGTGATTTAATCTCTAGATTTCTGTGCATGTATAGGAATTATTGGACCACTAAAAAGTTGTCAAGGCCACCAAAATTTATCGGTCAGTGGTCCAGTCCCAGGTGACAGCCTAGCTAAAATGGTTTGTCTTTGACACTGCCTAAGCCTATACTAGAGAATCTGAATACTGGTCCATTAAAATAAATCCCACATGATGATTTGCAAAGAACAAAAATAGCACAAACAGTGACTGTCATACTTTAAGCACTAACCTGAATACATTGCCTTAATCTCAGTCATTGAATTTAAGATTTTTGAATATACTTGTCCGAATTCCAGTTTTGAATTTATTCTACTATATATTTAACTTAATTCTCTTAAAATTTACACTGGTCATGGGCCACCGGGCCAGTGCTTAATTCGATGACTGTAATCTGTTATTGTATTAGGGGCCAGGACGTGTAGTGGTTGAACACGCTTGAACAAGATATTTTTGTGGCCCCACTTTAGTGGCGAACATTTAGATTTACCCTTGTCCGTCTGTTCTCTTTTGTGTCGGATGTAACTCAAAAAGTATTTGACCTAGAGTCATGAAACTTTACAGGAATGTTGATCAGCATGTGTAGTTGTGCACCTGGGTATTTTTGTCTGGATTTATATAGTATTTTTAGAGTTATTGCCCTTGACTTAGTAAAATTTTGCAATTTTCAACTTGTGTCGCATGTAACTCAAAATGGGTTTGACATAGAGTCATGAAACTTTGCAGAAATGTTGATCAGCATGTGAAGTTGTGCACTGGATATTTTCGTGTGGATTTATTATCTTTTAGAGTTATTGACCTTGACTTAGAAAATTTTTGCAATTTTCAACTTGTCGCATGTAAATCAAAAAGGATTTGACCTAGTCATTAAGCCTTACGGGAAGGTCGGTCAGCATATGACTAGTTGTGTACCTTGGGTTCCGCTTGTGGATTTATCCCGTATTTGTAGAGTTATTTCCCTTGACTTTGTAAAAACCGTTTCATTATGTTGTGTTATTTATTCCTTGAGTGCTTGAGTTAGAATCAACCAACAATAATGATCAACATCACTAAATTACAGGAATAACAATGATAATAAATAATAATAAAAAAATACACAGTATATTTTCATAAGTTTGCCTTTTTTGGTGAACTTCAAAACTTACATATGTGAATAAATGAGCATAAAAACCGCCCTGGATTTTCACTTATCAAATTTCAAAATATGTACATGACCAGTTTATAACTTCAATAGCTTTGTATAACCAAAAGCTACAAATCTGAGGCCCAGAACAGAGTGTGTCATAAACACTTCCTTCATGAATGGCCATTTAAAAAGAAAATCAAATAACATACAAACCCACTTACCTGAAAATATATGTGAGAGTTTTGTAAATATTTAAGACACAGAAACCATTTTGTCAAGTTTGCAATGATTTTACTCGCTTGAACCAAGTGTGCATTCACTTCACGTCCTGCCAAGTGATTTGTATTTATTTCGTATTCAAATATCTTGGTATATTTCCATATGTAGAGAAATGTATTTGTTTGATTTCAGATAAGAATTGGTACCACAAGGCCACAAAGGGAGGAGTTCAACTTACTCGTGGATGATGTTCAAAGCTGAGGAGAGTGAGAGCTTAAATCTATAAAACGGGTCAAAACTTTTGATATAGAAACTGTCATAAATTCTTCAGTTAATTGAAAGAGGGCAAGTTGTACAAAATGCCATGGAGCTAAATATACATGGAGAAGAAACTGTGATGTCACACAGTTAAATTCAGTATTGTGTTCAGAATTGTGGCAGAATTGTGTTCTTATAAGTTTATCATATGTCGGGGATTTTCAGAGATTTGATGCATCCTTGGTAAAAATAGCCAAAACACCGTCATATTGAATTCCCGGAGGAAGATGAAACATTTTTTTGCTTAAATAAGAAGCAATAGTTATTTATTGTAAAAGGTACTATACACACTTTTCTATACAAATATTTCTCTGATGAAAATCTATGTAGGGGTATGTAAACAATAATTCATGGATATCGTCCAAGTTTAACGAGAGTGCGAAAATTGGAGACTATCGGGAAAACTCAATTATCACCGAAGCCTGCAAAGGATTGTGGGTCTGAATCTGACTATTATCTATTTTTAGAGCTTCCTATCTGTTGTGTGTATATATCTGTGAAAATGCAAAGAAGTCGTTGGATTACAAAAGATCAACATTTCATTTGATTACCAGAGATCATCAATTCACTGGATTACTGAGATTCTCTGTATGAAAGATTTGATGACAAGAAAATTATTAAACCGGCAAAAATTGGATCTTACAGCAAGGATTTACTCATTTCAGAAGACAGCAATAGAAAATGTAGGAGTTGCATGTAATACTGGAGGTTTCTTGCGTCATGTTTTGTACTGTTTCAGTGACATTTCTTAGACTGTTTAAGTGATGTCCCTCATTCAATCAGTTAAGAAAATGATGAAAAGCAAATTAAAATCTAGGAGTGACCTAGTCAAGTATTATAATGTTTTAACTTTTAGTGCTAAATTCAAAGAGGTGTCACATGTTACAGACTATTTTAAAAAAGGAATCTTAAGTCAAGTGTTATTGCCAAAGCTCATTGCATTCCAGTAACTACAATGATATATCTAAAGAAGTGTGTCTAAACAATACAAAAACAATTAAACTGTAAGGAAAATACTTTGTTTCATATGCAATCATGCTTTTTATTAAATTTAATAGTTTGCTTATGACTGATGTTGAACTGCTTGTCATTTAACTGGATTTAAAAGTGCACAATTTAGTTCACATCAGTACAATGTGCTTATGTGAAGTAATGTGATTGCCCTGTGTCCAATGGCATCTTGTATTGTCAGCAATTTCTTGTAATGATATCTTCTACAAAACTGATTATTTGATTTTAATCATAATGATCCTTTGGTGGCCCTAGTAACAGTAATTCAGCTGTGGTCCAGTCATACGGGCAGTTGCTAGGAATTTCCAGTACAATGCAATCCTAGGCTATTCCAGCCATTCGTTAGATCATGGAAATACCAGGAACGTCTGGGATATCCAAGTTCTTTGAAATGCCAAGGAATTACTAGAAAAAATGTTCCAAATACCGTGGGCAAGTCATTCTCAGTCATTCCTAAGATTATAAAAATACCAGGAGTTACTGGTATTATCATAGGTCTTTGAAATGCCTTGAAATGCCTGGGATGGACTAGAAAAATGTTCCAAATACCGTGGGCAGGTCATTCTCAGTAATTAGGATATCCAGTACAAGTCAATCTAAGGCATTCCTGGATTCACATTTTTTTTCTAGTTATTACCAGTAGTTTTCAGTCGTTCCAATTACCGCCAGCCAGTAACTGGAAATTCCTCAGATTTCCTTGCATTTCCTAGGAATTATCCCTGTAAATATTCCTGGGATTTCCCAGTAAAATCCTAGTAAAATCCTGGTAAATTACCAGTAATTTCTGCAAGGGCAGTCTCCAACAGATATGAGCCGCGCCATGACAAAACCAACATAGTGGGTTTGCGACCAGCATGAATCCAGACCAGCCTGCTCATCCGCGCAATCTGATCAGGATCCATGCTGTTCGCTTACAAACTTTATAACAAGTAGAGAAACTGACAGCGAACAGCATGGATCCTGATCAGACTGCGCGGATGCGCAGGCTGGTCTGGATCCATGCTGGTCGCAAACCCATTATGTTGGTTTTGTCATGACACGGCTCATATAATCTCACATCTTTCCCATCATTTTGTTGATTTGTTTGCAAGTCTGTTTTTTTTTATACCAATTTTAACACATTTTCGGTCATATCTTGGTGGTCGGTCCACCGGACCAGCTTCCTTAAAAACAAACAAGTAATCACCAATTTCTCTGCAAAGTGATCAACGAATAATCCTACATGGTTTCTGAATAGGCGGTGAATGACAAATAACAATAAGACTCCATTTCTCAGATCAATTGGCATTGAGAAATTTCACCTCAAGCTAAGCTGGTAGACTTGCCTGTTTGAAAAGACAAGGTAATAATATGCTGAATAAGTAAACTAGAACTCCGCGAGTCGGATGTGTTGCCTTGTGAACAATATAGTTTAGGAGAAATGGCAAGGTCAAAAATAAAATATGAAAATTAACAAAGGACAATAACTCAAACAAGAGGGCCATGATGGCCCCAAGAGGGCCATGATGGCCCTGAGGTCGCTCACCTGTATATAGCCCCCCCCCCCAACGTTGCAGGGCCAATTTAACCCAAGGGCTTTTATTTGCACAAACTTGGTAGACACCCATAAGAAGATGTTTCATGCTAAACATCTAAGCTCTAGCTCATTGGGCTTTTTAAAAGAAGATTTTTTTTAAGTTTTTACTATCATAACACATATAGTTAAAAACAATGACACCCCTGGGGCCGGGCCAGTTTTGACCCCAGGGCTTTTATTTGAACAAACTTTGTAGACACTTACTAGAAGATGTTTCATGCTTAATATCTAAACTCTAGCTATTTGGGTTTTTTCAAAGAAGATTTTAAGTTTTTGCTATACACATATAAAGAAAATCAATGACCCCCGGGGCGGGGCCAATTTTGACCCCAGGTCTTTTATTTGAACAAACTTTGTAGACACTCACTAAAAGATGTTTCATGCTTAATATCTTAACTCTAGCTATTTGGGTTTTTTCAAAGAGGATTTTTTAAGTTTTTGCTATACATATATAAGAAAAATCAATGACCCCCGGGCGGTGCCAATTTTGACCCCAGGGCTTTTATTTGAACAAACTTGGTAGACACCTATTAGAACATGTTTGATGCTAAATATCTTAGCCATAGCTCTTTGAGTTCTTTAAAAGAAGCTTTTTTAAGTTTTAATTATATGCATATAGGGAAAATCAATGACCCCCCGGGGCGGGGCCAATTTTTACCCAAGGGCTTTTATTTGAACAAACTTGGTAGACACTTATTAGAACATGTTTCATGCTAAATATCTTAGCTCTAACTCTTTTGGTTCTTTAAAAGAAGATTTTTTAAGTTTTTACTTTATGTATGTAGGGAAAATCAATGACCGCCTGGGGTGGGGCCAATTTTGACCCCAGGGCTTTTATTTGAACAAACTTGGTAGACACCTATTACAACATGTTTGATGCTCAATATCTTAGCCATAGCTCTTTGAGTTCTTTAAAAGAAGATTTTTTAAGTTTTTACTACATGTATATGCATATAGGGAAAATCAATGACCCCCCGGGGCGGGGCCAATTTTGACCCCAGGGCTTTTATTTGAACAAACTTGGTAGACATCCATTAGAACATGTTTCATGCTAAATATCTTAGCTCTAGCTCTTTGGGTTCTTTAAAAGAAGTTTTTTTAAGTTTTTACTATATGCATATAGGGAAAATCAATGACCCCCCGAGGCGGGGCCAATTTTGACCCCAGGGCTTTTATTTGAACAAACTTGGTAGACACTCACTAGAAGATGTTTCATGTCAAATATCTAAGCTCTAGCTCTTATGGTATTTTAAAAGAAGATATTTAAAATTTTTTCTTTCGGTTGCCATGGCAACCAGATTTCTGCATGGAATTAAATTCTTTGAACAATTTTTAAAGGTGACCACCAAAGGAACATTCCTGTGAAGTTTGGATGAAATTGGCTTAGTGGTTTATGAGGAGATGTCATTTAAAGTAAAAGTTTACGGACGGACGCCGGACGGACGGATGCCGGACCGACGGACGCCGGACCAAAAGGGATCACAAAAGCTCACCCTGTCACTTTGTGACAAGTGAGCTAAAAAGAGGTCAAAATATGCAAAATTAGCTCTTAATGCGTTAGTAACACAGTAGAAATTATTGTGATAAATACTGCAAAACAAGTCATTAATCACAAATAACATGTAAATTATTTCTTGAACATTGAATCTTTTACTTTTCTTAAAATTTTAGTAGATTTTTTTCAAGTTCGATTTTCTTGATATATTTTGGCTTAATATATCACGAGGCATGAAGCTTTAAAAACTTTACTCTCAACATATTCAGCAATCAGAACTCGGCTATTACTAAATAATTACTTATCCAAAGTTAGACAGAAATATCCAAGAAGATTATAACGATTGCAATTATTCGGTGAATTCGTTTAAGTGTTGTTTTTTTTTTCCGAGAAAAAACAAGTGCAATTTATTGTACTGTAATACAAAATTTAAAGTGTATTCCAAGAAAACAATTGCATTATATATTATTGTGATACAAAATTTAATGCCTATTCCGAGAAAATCAATTATGCATTATATTGTATTGCAATACAAAATTGAATGTGTCTTCCGAGAAAAACAAGTGCATTATATAGTACATGTTATTGTAAATACAAAAATTTAATGTAGTTTAATGATATCTGTAATGTACATTTTGACCGTTAAAGGGGATTGGTCTTCAATGGGCAACAGTTTCCTTAAAGAGTATAAATGACCCGCGTCACGACAAAACCAACAGTAATGGGTTTGCGACCAGCATGGATCCAGACAAGCCTGCGCATCCGCGCAGTCTGATCAGGATCCATGCTGTTCGCTTATCAACCCTATTACAAGTGGAGAAACTGACAGCGAACAGCAATAGATCCTGATCAGACTGCGCGGCATGCCTGGCTGGTCTGGATCCATGCTTGGTCCGCAAACCCATTATGTTGGTTTTGTCGTGACGCGGCTCATATATATATTGTAATTCTTTCATGGTTTGCTGTTTTACATGTATGTCTGATACTTGATATTATGAATGTAATTATTTTATGGTATAACAGACCTTTCATTATTGACCAATTCTCTTTAAAATAAAACTTTAAACCATAACATCCCTGACAATAATGCTATTTTTAGACGGTGTCTAAAAGGAGCTAGGGAGCAGTGTGACCTATCGGATGTGTTGAGTCCTAGGTGTAACTCAATTGCTAGTTGCAGCCTCATTGTATTTAAGTTTATGTTTGTTCACACTCATTAGTGTCTTGATTTTTATACATTGTACGAGAGAAATAAAAATGATTGTTTGTTTGATTTCTTTGGGTTTTATGTCAAACCGACACACAGTATAATTGGTCATATGACGACGTTCCAGCTTAACTGGTGGACGAAGACCTCAGGTGCCCTTCCGTGCATTATTTTAGGGACGATGGAGCACCCCGAGTAGAACATGCAGCTGCCATTCCTTAAGCTAGCTGGATAGAATATTAAATGGACTTTGACTTTTGATAATATTACTATAGTAATCTACTTATTTAAACTAACTGAATTAATAGTTATATACACATTGCTAATTATATAAAAATGCCTGTAAAGGAGGCAAATATGTTCAAGCTCGAAAGGGATGTTATAATTATAACCCGCAATTACTAACTACTTAAAAAGTTTGGTATTTAAATATATATATATATATATATATATATAGAAAAAAAACTTCCTTAGTGAAAGTATTTTTTTTTTTTTTTGATACTTAATACATTCTAATTGCTTAACAAGACTTTCAATTAGTTTAGTTAAATTAAGTTTCCTTAAAAGCCACATCATATTTGATAAACAACTCGAAGGGGTTTTTGTCACAAAAACCACGATGAAAGTACATGCAAAACCATAATTATATCTCACACGTAATTTATGTTTTTCTAAGGATGGGTTAGCAGCATGTATCATTTCTTTCATGCATCAACAAGTACACCACTTCAATTTTACTTATCTTAACACGACCCACATTTTTCCCTATTGAATATA